GCAGAGCCCCACACGCTGCCCTGCAGGACAGAGCTGGGCAGGGCAGCAGAACATGTTAGAGATAAACAGAATAAACAAATTTGAAAACCAGCAGAGACTAATTATGACCCCCTCTTTGGCAGCGGGGCTCAGAGACTTTCTACGATCTCGGAATCATCAGTGCCACAGATTCCCACAGCACCGTGCAGCCCACAGACGTCGTCCCTGCCTGTTTTATTTCGGTGCTGTCCTCCATCCAGGGCTGCAGTATCCCCACGAGTTCGGGCTCCCATGTGGGGCTGCAGGGAGCCAGAGGTGGGCGGTGGGGGCAGTGAGGGATGGGCAGGGGCGGGATGGAGAGGAGTGACGGGTGGAGAGAGGGCAGGAGAGGGGCAAGGTGAGCTGGAAGAACAGACAGGGGTGAGAGGGGGAGACAGGAACAGAGAGGAACAGGGCTGAGGGGACGAGGTGAGAAAAGGGAGGGGCACTCCATATCTGCCTGACCAAAGCTGCAGCAAAATACAATTCTCATTTCCAGGACAATGCCAAACACCTGCTGCAAACTGACATCAGGAATGTGGACTAGTGACTTCAGTTTCACAGGGCCAGCGCTCGTGTTCAGGGGCCAGTGGCTCTGAGGGGGCAGCTGCCTGCAAAAAATCCGAACGGCGAAGGATGTGTCCCAGACCCAAGATGCCCCACCTCAAACTTGTGCTGCCCTGCATCACAGCCCTGAAAGCCAAGCAAGAACCTGGTTTAGACAGTGCAGAACCAATAGCCCATGAACTGGAGTTTGTTTTTAATATATATATAAAAAATAATGAGCGATTTACAGGTCTCTAGTCAGAACCTCAGAAGTCTGTATAAAGGTGCTGTACAATATATAAACATTTACACCCAGTACATCCATACATTGCGTAGCATTCCAAGGCCACATGGCTAAGTATGATACAGGAAGTACAGATACAAGGGTTATGGAAGGAGAAATCACATACAGGTAAGACATTATCAGGTCACATGAACATATAGAAAAATAGAGAGGAATTGATGGCAGGGAAATAATTTCAGTGGGGCTAAATTCATCTGGAATTAAAGGACTGGACTTGTCACTGTACTTAGTGGTCAGGCCAAGTGTACACAGCTCAACATCAACCAACCTCTGGGGAAGAACACAGGGCAATATCTACACAGACTACTTCAGAGTATTAAATATTTCACAGTCATATTCCACTCAGGGAGTATTCGTACATGTTATGCTACGCAACAACCCTGTGTCAGTGGCTCACCTGGTGTCGAGCAGGTGAGCATGGTTTAGAGCTGCTTTAAAGCCTTTTGAATTCCCAAAGTCTGTTTAAAAGCTGTTTGAGCTGTACTTGTGAAGAATTCCACTCAGAACTGCCTCACCGTGCTTTGTCAGCCTTCAAAAACTTTTAATGTTTCAAAGCCAAAATGAGATATTCACTTGCAAAAAGCATATCATGTTTGAATTTTAAGTAAGTAAAGCTCAATACTCTTTTCTCTGGCAAACTGGACCAAGGGCCTCCTTTCACCACTTTTCTGCAGTCATTGAAAATCTCAGATGTCAGGAAATAATCACTAAAACTGTGAATAAAATAAACTCCTTCATTTCTATTGTTCTTGTGATGTGTCAGTAGGTTCTGGTGGTAACATCCCTCTTTAAAACATCTCTGCCAGCCCAAACTATAGATGGTGTCTCCTGTATCCTGTTTGTCATCAACACTCCTTGATCACATATCCATAGAAAATAGGGGAGAGTTCTAAAATACACAGGCAAGAATTTCACTGAAAAAGCTGCTCTGGTAGCTGAATCTGTCCTAAAGGTCAGTTTTTACCTCTACAGAGGGGAAAAAAAACCCAATTCCTAACTAGCATTAAATAATTAAAGATGGGACTTCAGTATGACCTCCACACTAAGGCTGAGGGTGTCACGGTACCATGAGTGAAACCAAAGGAATTGTGTTATTTAACAAAACCCAGAGTTTTCTTTCCTCTCACGGATGTTTGCAGCCCAACTCCCTGTGAATCAAGGAACTAAAGTGATTCTGCTGTGTCAGAAAAAGCAAAATTACAAAATAATGTCAAATACCATATTTAGCTACAGGGTTTTGTATTAGGTATAAAAATTCCAGGAAACATAAGAACTGAGCAGCATCAGCAGCTCATTTGCTGCCCTGAAACTGAGAGAACCAACTCACCCGTGTTCTCCCTGACCCAGCAAGAACACGGCGGTTTCCTGATGCAAACATGCAACCTGCTCTGGAGAAAACACCCACTTCAGCCCAAACCTGCCTTGTCTCTGACTGGAACCCATGTGGGAAGGGTTAGATTGACAGTAAATAGCTTGGCACAAGAACAGGAGGTGAGTCAGGATCACATTAGCAATAGAGGCATTAAATAACTTTGTTCAGAGTTCACAATACTCAGGGAAGCTGCAGCAGTGCAACACTGGGAGCAGCAGACATGGCCTGCAAAGGGACTTGGGGACCGCAGCTCATGGAAGGGTTTCACTGAAGCAATCTGAAAGTCCTTCATGGAGCTTAGATAATTTAAAAACAAGTGAAATACTTTCCCCCCCTTTAACCAGTTTCTGAAAAAAAAAAAAAAAAAAAAAAAACAAAAAAAAAAAAAAAAAAAAAAAAAAAAAAAAAAAAAAAAAAAAAAAAACCAAAACTGTGTGAGAAAAAACAATGCTTTAAATTACCCTTACTGGAAAATTGACCAAAACATGTTCTAAAAAACACTGTCTCTCAGTCAGTCACAACCATTTTCCAGGCACTGGGGTGCCCTTACAGCCACTGGGGACCCTCCACGGCCCGGGAGTTACCAGTGTTCTCCTTACTGGAGAACTCCTCTCAAGCTGGGAAGTTCCATCTTTGGTTTCATTGGGCAGCTTCACGTGTCTCTCTCCATGGTGTCTGTTCAGCGTAAGAACTTCCTGTGTTTCTGCCCTCCTTTGTTTCTCCATGGATAGCAATGGGATATTGGAAAGGCTGGAGGTTTTGAATCTGCTGGAACCTACGTCTCCAGAATTGGACTTGGTTAATAAATCATCCTCAGAGGCATTTCTCCTAGATTCCCTGAACAGAAGGTTATCCCCACCAAACACCGGGTAATGTTGGTCTGCAGAACACCCTTCTGTCTTTCCCAGGGTCTTCTGCTTCATCTCTTTCCTGGTGACTTCTGGTTTATCATTCCCACCTTTCAACTGCTCAACAGAACGGGATGTTTGGATCCTTCCCACTGTTTCTGTACTTCCTGGCTTGCCGAGATGTCTTTGGGGACTTGCTGACCTTCCTCGATTTCCACGGGAAGACTCCTTTTTGTCACTATTCTTCATCTCTTTTCCTGTGGTTTTACTCTCACTCCTGGAACTGTCAGATTTATGTGAGAGATTGCTTTTCTCAGAATCCCCTTTCCTGGGGCTGTGGAATCCCATTTGAGGGTATCCTTCAGCAGCCCCTGACTTTGCTGGACTGGCAGGTCTGTCCTTTCTGGTCTCTGCTTCTGAAGTACCTTTAGTGATTCCAAACCCAGGACTTGAGGGACATTCCCATCTGTTCTTTGTTCTCTGGGGATAAGACTGAGGCTTCCTCTCACACAGGTTTTCAGTTAAAGTGCTTAACTTGTCAGGCACAGTGTTCTCTGCTTGTTCCAGTTCCTCAGACAGCTGAACTCTGGTTAAAGCTTCTCCTGGTACTGCTAAATAACACACTTCAGATGGGGAAGCAGAATGGGAAGATGAAGATAATAATGGTGACTGTTCTTCATATATTACATTTGATGAAGCAGGATTGGAGCTATCCCAATCACCTGGAAGCAAATGGCAAGAGATTTAATTTAATACATAAGAAGTAATAATCAGCAAACTACTGAGTTCAATTCAAAAAACATTATGGAATGACATACTTTCAAAGCTTTATTTAGCCAGATTTCTGTATTGTGTTGTTCCATAACAACCCTGAGGATGTGATTTTGGAAAAAAAATATCTAATTCTCAGAATGCTGGATCCCTGCAGGACTGATATGGTCTTGTATCAAAACAATTCGAGAGCCTACACAGCAAAATTTCAAATTAAAAAGTCCCTAACCTACATTTTTTAATAAAACCTAACAAACTAGAACTGTTATTCCTACAGGAATCTGAAACAGTGAAAAGTTTGGGTTATTCATAGCTTTGCACTTTAAAAATAGGAAGAGATGAAACAAGATATGCAGATTTACCAAGTCTTTAAGGAAAAACCAAGAAAAGCACTGAAAGCCCTTAATGTTGCTCAGGTTTCACGTAGGGACACAGACTGGAAGGAGCCAAACCTGAAGGAGGAAGAGAAAAAGCCCAGAAGTACATACCAAAAAAAAAAAAAAAAAATCAGAGTACAGCAAGCAAGATCTCAATCAGAAATGTGGGATTAACAGCAAGGCAAGAGGCCATAAACCCTTCCCCACTCCACTACTTCCTTCACCTCATCCCAGGCCCCACTCTAGACAAAAGTGCTGGCTTGGACATGTTCCAGAGGTTCCCTTTTGTCTGATTCTCTTTCTCCTTCAAAGCTCAGGGAATTTCTGCGACCGGCAGGGTCAGTAGTGATGCTCAGGACCCTTTTCTAGCTTTCAGGAGGAAAGAAATTGAGACAGTTCTGAGCAGATTTTACCCTTTGAGTGAATGCCAGTAAGTGACTGAACACAAAAAGTATTTTGATAGCTCAAACTGTGTGTTTGGGATTTTGAAAGGATAAGCTTGGGTCACTGTGACTGAAAAGCTCCTTATCAGAAAAAGTGACCCTACAATTTAGGAAATTTAACCATCAGCACCTTGGTGTCAGCATCAGGGCTTACAAAGACTAAAATGTATATTTAGAAAATTTTATGTTCTTTGCTTTAAAATGCTGCCGCTGCCAAAAGTCTCTGATTTGCAGTCTTGGAACTGAGTCAGACGCAAAGTCATCAGTTCTGAAATCTCTGGTTCCTGCAAACATTTGCTCTGCTGCCCTTCCTGGCTTTTTTGGGTTTGTTTTTTTCTTTTCTGGCCTACAGAGTTGTGGTTTCTTTTTGTAGACACAGAAATCACCTTGAATCAAACTGAATGCCTTTGGAGAGTGAAGTTGTCCCTTTCCTGCTTCCTAAAGAAGTTTTGGCTTTGAAAAACAAAGCATTTCATAATTTAGAAGGCTAAAACCAGAAATAAATATGTACAGAAACAAACTTTTAACAATACTGTAGCACAGAAAATTTTCATTTAAAAGGCAATCAGGGTTATCAGAATATTTTTATAGAAAAACTTGATTAGCTTGGACAGAGCTGAGAAACTAATTAGAAATATGGAATAATTTCAGATTGTGCAATACTTCTATGTACTGTCATGTGTTAATTTCCCCCAAATAATCCTTGTATTTGAAAGTATATAATTTTATTTTTCAATTTTTACATTTTAATTTTTAATTTATTTCAGTAATAAAAGCACAGCTGTCACAAAGGCAACTGCCAACTACTGCAGTGAACAAGCAGCAGAATCTCCTTATCCCACTTTACTTCCCTGCCTTGCAGCCTCAACACCAAACAGCCCTTGAGACAACGTACTGTGATCTGGTATCAGTCCAGTCCCTGGTCTCAGCAGCAGCAAAACTTTATTTCCTCCAGCCTGAATCAGCTCAATGGCTCGTGTGTGAGTGATTCCTTGGGTAGGTTCTCCATTAATTTCCACAATTTGGTCACCAACCTGAGGAAAAAAGAGCAGCAGATTAGTCTTTGGGACTCTCTGATGCTGTGAACTGGTTTTTAATTTAGAAAGAAAAAATAACAGAGGCAGATGCTTCTGTTTTCCTTCTTGTGCTAAAATACAGTGGGCATTAGTGACACCATTCCATGGATGACAAGCAGGATGTGACTCCAGGGTCTGGGGGTTCAGAGGTGCATGGAGGTTGTCTGCTCAGGAAAAAGTTCCAGAGATCTTAACCACATCTTCTATTTATTTACAAGTGATGAGGCAGATACAGGATGTGCTTGAATATATTTTCATTGATTCTGGATCACGCTGTAGAGGGAACAAGCACATGGATCACCCGCATCACACCTATCTGAGGTCACCTTATCCAGGGGAGGACATGGCACCTTCCCTACACCCACTGCCAAGCTGAGAACCACACAAACAGGTTTGACTTAGGGAAAGGAATCATTATTTCAGGTTGGACAGATCCACAGTGAGGTTTCAGAGCCAGTAAACAACTCTCACAGGTACTGGGCAGGTTAATTTCGGCCAGTGCTAACTTCTCTGGCTGCTGGAATAGCATACCCCAAAAACAGTTCTCTATTAAGCAAAATTGGGAAGGGAAATGGGGAAAACAGGGAGTAGAAGCCTATCTGGCAATGCACACAGCAGCCAACAGATGTCACCGGTGTTTAACATTAGCAGCTTAAAGAGCCTTCCTAGGCTTTGTTGAAGTCACTCTGCCAAAGGACCAAAGGAGGTCACTGCTGGCTCCTCATGGACAAGCTGGGACTGAGACACACTGGGACAGCTCAGCTAGCTGGATGAGAAGTTCGTCCTCACACTGTTCAAGTACAACCAGAAAGAGACACCACATCCAGATGACAAGAAATGAAAAGTGTGAATGACCTCAGGCTGGGTGAGCTCAGCCCATCCACGCTCTGGGCTGGGCCAGGGACTTGGCATATGCCAGCACTGGAAGGGGCTTAGTGTCAAGGACGGGAAGATCAAAGATGTGGCTCTGCACACAACACCCAAACAAAACCATCCTGTGCCTGAAAGCATTGTCCAAACACTCTTTGAGCTCTGTCAGCCTTGGGGCTGTGACCATCCCCTGGGGTAGCCTATTCCACTACCTGACCACCCTCAGAGGGAAGAACCTTTTCCCAATATCCAACATAACCCTCCCCTGACACAGCTCCAGCAGTTCCCCCAGGGCCTGCCACTGGTCCTGCCCCTCGGGTGGAAGCTGCAGACCCTGGTGAAGTCTGACTTCCAGCTCCTCTTCTCTGGGCGGAACAATTTTGGTTGCTTTGCCCAAAAAGCAAATCCCTGGAGCTCAGTGTGACAGCACTTGAAGGAGGACTATGAGAAAAAATATTAGCACTGAATGCTATACATGTGTTGTCTCTCAAGCATGTGGGGGAAAAATGCTAATTACTTTGAAGAACAGGATAAGAGATGTTAAGAATACTAAGAATTCCACATCCAATTAAGCCTCAAAGCAAGCATCTGTGCCAGCCCCATTCTGCAAATACAGGACAAAGATAGGCAGAGCCACATGCCAGCAACAAGGAAGCACAAGGACTGCAAGGGATGGCATCTCATGGGCACCTGGCTCACCTCAATGCTCCAGCCGCTGAAAATCCAACCCTGGGCAGTAGCCAGAGAGTCTCGCTTACCATTGTTCCTTCTGTTGTACCCATGTATTGTGCTTTTACTACAATATTTGAGAGTGAATTCCTTACAGAAAGGCAAGAATTCACATAATATTTGGGAAGAAATCAGGATTGTATCTCCAGAAATGGCATAGAACAACAACAGCACAATGTACACACAAACATTCCTTAAAAATTAATTGACTCGGACAGTGATTCTCCTCCCAGGTCTCTGGTGCATTCTGCTATCTATTGTTGGGGGCTCCTAAAATACCCATGAGTACCTGCTGCTCATACCCAGGGATGCTACTGTAACCCAGCAAAGCGGACAATCCCTTTGGGACAGCCAGAGCTGTTAATGGATTTCTCATCCAAAAGTCCATGGCCACAGGGACAGCTGGAAGAAGGGCAAAGGCCCAGATGCTGTTCTGGGACCCTGTGCTTGTGAAAATCCAAGTTTGTTGCCACTCTTGGTAAATTAATGTATCAACTGCATCAACAAATTGATTAGAGAAGGCAAACCTACATGGACTCTCCCATCCTTGACTGCTGGCCCATCCTCAGCCAGACGGAGGATGAATAAGCCCATGTTGTATTCCTTTCCTCCTCGGAGGCTGAATCCAAACCCTCGAGGGCCCCTTTCCAACTCCACTGGGAAACAGCCAGCATTCTGTGCAGGAAGTCAGAGGGGATGGGGGAAAAAAAAATTAAAGAGAGATAAGGACCTGTAGGCAGATTTAACCTTCTGTTTTTCTAGAAAAACATTACAATATTTCTACATTTTGAGCATTTCAACAGCATTCATCCCAGCTCTGGGGTGACTCAGGGTAATGGTTTTAATCTAAGTACAAACATTCAGAAAATCTTTCCTTCTGAGATAGGCACAAAATTCTTGAAGAAAGGTTGAAAATTCTTGAAGAAAGAATTCTTGTGTAGTCACTCCATAACAAGCATTTTGTGTTTCTTTCATAACTATAATAAGTGTTCAACTTCCCTGAGGAGATAATCACATTTAAAACATGAGCAAAAACATTCTGTGAGACACTTCAGTACATTTTTATACACAATGTTCTACTGTTCTACCTGTATCCAACAGGGAAATGTTTTAACATTCTGCTTTTGAGAACTCTGTGGCAATGCCAGCAGTGCCTTGATGGATGAGTATTCCCCATGTCTCCACACCCTCTGGATGGATTTTTCTACCTGGGAATGACGGCTGCCAACACCTGAAGCAGCATCCAACTGTGCCATGTGCTTGTGCTCGGGCCAGGACAGCCGGTAACTATTAGAAACTTCTTTTCCAGCTTCACCTTCTGTAGCTCCCCTACGGAAAGGTGAAAGGACATGGATGTTGCCTTCACATCAATCCTTCTGGCTAAGCTTTTCTCACCATTCCCAGCCCCTTTTCCCAACCTGTCAGGGTTGATCGGTGCCAATCCCAGTGGTCGGTGCTGTGGGGCCGGGCTCTGCCTGGCTGAGTTTGTTCCTGATGGAGGACCACGTTGCTCTAGAATCCAAACAAAATCAACAGTCACGAGTTCACAAATCTGCAGCCAGGACAATGGTCACCACCACTGCTGGGGCTACTGTTCCCAAGGAACCACAGCTGCGACACCTTGAGCCAAGCTCACGTGGGCACAACAGACAGAGGATTTTCCAAGCCAGGGACACAAGTACAGCTCCTCAGTTCCATGGAATAAATTCTTAGGAATTCCAGTCCTTACTTTTACTCTTTTACCCTGCTTTCCCTCTGGAAATCCCAACACAATTGTATGGATCCTGACACGAATAGAAGGGTTTTAGCCTGTTTGCAACTTGATAAATGCCAGAGGGGATCAGGGCTGATCAGATCCATGAAATTGGTTCAGATACTCATTATCGTAAGATTTTTTAAGAATGTCCATTTGAGTAATAGTCTTCTGTAAAGGTAAGGGAATGAGGATCTGCAGGAGAAATAGGGATTTAGAGGTGAAGGCCCCATCCAATAAAGGTAAATTGCCAACTCATTTAAGGCCCAACAGAGTTTTCCATTGCCCAGTGAGGAACTGGTCTCTTGGGAGAAGGTGTTCGCTGGCAGGCCATCAAGGGGAATGTTAAAGTTTTTTGCCTTCTCCCAAAAGCTAAGTAAAAAATAAAGTTTTAATAAAATAATTCCTATTATTTTCCCCTCCAGGAAAAATACTGTTAGTGTGCACTTTACAATAAATCCAGCGCATTTCTGGAAAAAGCCTCGTGTTTCAGGATACAAAAATGACACTCTTACTTAAGAATAAAGAAGCAAAATCTATGCAAAAAGCTGCCTCTTAACTGGAACCTGAATGGCAAGCAGTGGCCCACGATGGACTTTTGTGCTGAAATATAAACTATTAACTCCTTTTCCCTGAAAGGGTTAAAAAACAATCATTCTCAGCACCAAAACTAGAGATTGTTCCAGCCCCATTAGGTGCAGCAGATCACTGCATTTCTTAATTATGAACAAACAAATTCCACTAAAATACAAAAAAAAGCGCTCAGGAATGTTAAGGGAAGAGAAATTTAAAGTGTATTACACTGAATTTCTCATGTATGTGAGACCTCCTGAGCCCTCCACACATCTGCTTGGTGCTGTTCTCATGACATGCCTTAAAGAGGTTTTTCTCTATAGAGAGAAAACGTCATTTTTTACTCTTGGTTTATGCTCAGATTTTTAATTTAGAAGCATAGGCAAGAAAATCGCCATCTGTTTGTACAAATCCTGCAGCCTTCTCTGCAGCCTCCTCTCATGTGTTCCCAGCTAATACATGACAAAAGCTGACAGGCTCCTGCTTTTGTGAAAAATGTTGAAGAATCTCTTCTGGTGCATGAAGGGAATTAATTTATTCCCATGAAAAGCAAAGATCAAAGGCGTGCGTGTGAAAGACTGGGGGGAGAGAAGGAGACCAGGCAGAGATCTTTTTGCCACTCTCAGAAGACAAAGCTGGGGAAGAGCAAACTCTGTCAGGGTTTCTGCCTTGTGAGGCTCAACAGCTTCCAGCAAAAAAGGGCATTTTGTGTTTTTGGAGCTGGATCCTGGATTTTCCTGGGTGTGAACCAGCCCTGTGAGGCTCAGCTCTCTTCCTGAGTGTCTGAAGCCCTGACTCACCAACATCTATGCTGGATTCCCCCACTACACAGGCTCTACTGTGAGCTAAACTATTTATTTAGCTACATCAAGGGGAATTTTAAAGTGGAGATATATTCCCACTCCAGTGGAACTGGTTCTGCTTCTTTCTCCTTCATTGTCACAAATTTCTTTATATCTGAAACATGCCAACTCCAGCTCCTCTGAGCTACAGATTTTTACTGTCTGATCTTTTCTCTGGTTTTACCACCTGCTACTGAGTGGTTCTTTCCTCTCTTTGCTGAGTCCCCTCAAGTTCTGTTTTTATCTCTGTATTTTGGCTCCAAATCTGTAACTGAGGCAGTGGGAAAGGTTTTTACACAAAGTCCATGTAAGGTCATACACAAATAAAGAGTAGAAATATGATACTCAGAAAACTTATTTTGAAAACAAGTGGATGGTGTTCCTGACCATGGCAGCCCAATGGACTTTCAGGTCTTCCAATCCAAACTGGTCTGGATTTGATGACTAAAAGCTGCAGAGAAAATAGATCTAATTCAACCAACTCAAGCTTCAGTTGCTTTATAAACATAACCCATGGCAACTGCTTTGAAAGTGTGTCCCTTCAAACTGGAATATGCCAGATTTGATAAAAATAAAAATCTTAATAGAAAAATAACAACTTATAGAGGTCTCTCTACTTCAAGCATTAATAAAAAGGAACATTTAGTCTTTTGAAATTCTGTGTTACAGGCTGAGATGACACATTAAATATTTGCAATGAACGTGAAATTAGAGACTCATCTGCTGGCTTTATTCACAGCCTGGCTCTCGGTACTTCTTATTTCAAAGGTGAAGAAAGTCAACTTTCTGACAAAATAATGACAGGGAGTTTAATTAAACCCGTAAGCAGCATTCAAGAAAAATGCAGGGCAGGAAAACAGCTTTTCTCTTCAAATTACTGGATTTTACGTATTTACGTTTTTCTTTAGAAATAATACCACAGTGCATGTGTTGCGGAAGATAAATAAATACGATTATCCATAGATAATGCAGCCAGGATTAGAATGGTTCTCCCAGCTGGCCGGACGGCGCCCCTGCCTGTGGATGGGTCCTGGAGTCAAGTGGACTGTTCCATCTCACCCCCCAAAAGATGTATTGTTCACCCCGCACCTGTACCCTCCCTAAAACATCAAGTGCCTGTAACCCCACTGGCCCGAGCCTTGTTCCAGCCCACCTTGAAGCTCCTTGAAAAAGGGGGCTTTGAGGGGCACACGCCCTCTTGGAACCTCCTCCCCCCTCTTGGAGTTTCCCCTCTCCTAGAGCATCCTTTTGTCTCTCCCCTCCTCCACCTCTTGGAGCCTCGCCATGTGCTGCGTCTGGGAGCACGAGGCAGAACCTTCTGCACCCCCAATAAACCTCTTTCCCCAAGAGCAAACTTCAGAGATCTCTGCCTCCATTCATCTACACCGTGCTGGAGCCTGCTATTTTCAACATGCATGCAGCGGTACATGGGAGCTGTCATTAAGTCACAGCCTCCGAAGATGGGACTTTGTAGTCCCCAGGACTCACTCTGCTGCTCAGGTGACACAGCAGGTTTTGCAGGTGCAAGATTGGCAAAAAAACCCTGTCAAGGCTTTTTTCCCGTGTGATGTGGAAAAGGGATGTGACCTTTTTCCAAAGGGGAGCTTTGGCAGACAGAACTGCAGAATGTTTCTGCTGCAGGGATGCAGCATTAGGGAATTTGTGTGTTTTAACAATGCAAAACACAAAAAAAGCTAAAAAAAAAAGCAAAAACTCATGGCTTAAATGGAGACATTTGGAAAGCAGGAGTCCCTGTGGCCTTAGGGCAGGGAGAGAGGATCCTGGCAGCACCCATTGGTAACAGAGCACTGGCAGCACCTGCAACAGCAGGAGCTGGGCGCCTGAGCTGGGGAGAGATTTTCTCACTAAGCATGATCCTGTGGCTGCTGCAGACCCCTGAGGGGTCATTTCTCTTTCGCTGGAGAATACAAGATCCAGACAGGATGTTTCTATGTGAGCAGCACTTTCTCTCTCTCACACTTGAGAATTTCTCTCACTCTTCATTGTGTTGTTAATAATTTTAGCTCCTTTTTGGGTACAATCACCTTGTTGAGGCAGCTCCTCTCTCTGTCCCAGCTGCCTTCAGCTCTACCAGAGCAAACACATGAGCTTCCAACTTATTCAATTTCCAGGACGGGTCCCACTCAACTCAGGATATTCTAAGATTTACTCTCCGTAATTTCCAAACATCTTCAAAAGGTCCATTTAAGCCAACAAACTTCAGCAGTGATAAATACCCAACTTTGGTATTTTGGTGGCACCTTCCTTACCTTCCTCAGCCACCACTGTGAGGGTGACCACGTTGCCTGCATCCTTGATGAGCTGCACAATGCTGTCATGAGAGAGCTCCACAATGGACTGGCTGTTTACTGCTGAGATTCTATCACCCACCTTCAGCTTCCCACACTGGTCAGCTGGGCTTCCCTCGATAACCCGACCGATCTTGTGAGGAATCACTAGGAAACACGAATAGGCACAGTAACACCGTAAGTATGCACAGAATTATAGAATATCCTGAGTGGGAAGGGATCCACAAGGATCAAAATCCAACTCCTGGCCCTGCACAGGGCAGCCTCAAGAATCCTACCATTTGCAAATCAGATAAGCATCACATAGACTCAGAACTGCCAGTCACAGAATCATGACATATGCTGATTTGGAGGGACCCACAAGGATCAACTCCTGACACTGCGGAGGACATCCCAAAAACCAAACAAATCCCACCCTATGCCTGAAGAGTGTTGTCCAAACAATGCTTGAGCTCTGACAGCTTTGAGTCTGTGACCACTTCTTTGAGGAGCCTGTTAAGTGCCCCACCACCCTCTGGGAGAAGAAGCTTTTCCTAATATTCAACCTAACTCTCCTCTGGCACAGCTCCAGTCATTCCCTTTCCTATCACTGGTCACCACACAGCAGAGATCAGTGTTTGTCCCTCCTCTCCTGCTCCAAAGGGTGAAACTGCTTGTACAGGACAAACCTGCAAATAATGAGGGATGCTTCATTGTGAGTGAATGGAGATGCCAACCCAACAGCATGGCCTTCTCATGTACAGGGTGCTGTGCCTGAAGGAAAACATGGGAAGGAAATGGATCACATCTGCAAAGGGATGAGTGAGAATGTGTGGTCCTGGAGTGCACCAAAACAGCTGGTTTTACCATATATAATGTGGTTTTCCATTTCATGCATCAACCCTCACACACAGTGTGGGCTCAGAGAGAGTTATGGCCATCCACTGTAACACAGAGATTCAGATGCATGGGCAAACTCTTCTTACTTGCAAACAAAAATTAACCCTTAAACACACTTCAAAAATATATCAAACTTCTCCTGCTGGGGACTGATTCCATCAGGTGAGGACTGAACAGGGAGCTTGTGCAAGGCCAGCAAGGTGCTACATCAGCTTTGTACAGACTTGACAGTTTTTCCTGGTCTCTGAGATGAATAGGCACTTGTAATAATTGTCTCAAATTTCCTCCAGCTCTCCTGGCTCGGTTCCCTCAGTTCACCTCAGAGTGACACTGTACCCTGCAAAGACTCCTCCAGAAGCCAAAGCTATGAGGCCAGAATGGACAGACTGGAGAACAGAAGAAATGTTACGAGAAGTAGAAGGAAAAAAGTTTGATTTCAGTTCCTTTCCTAGAGACGACTATGCCTGAGCCGCATCCGTATCTCACAACTGCAATATCAGACCAGACTACTTTTTCATTTGATGATTTCTCTTGACAAACTCACTCACAGATGGTAACAAGTTCATTGTTTTCCACCAAATACTGTACACTTTACTTCCTCTGATACCCAAAATAGTAATTTTTACCTGATTAGGTAATATAAAGCCAAGGTTGAAACTATGCTTCCATTAATATGCCAATGAATTAGTGAAACACTACACTACAGCCGGACAAATATCTACATCCCAAATGCTGCCCTGTAACAAGTGCACACTCTTGGGTATGGGTTGTGTGAGATATAAATTCCTTTTCCCCATTCTTGTCACAGCTGGGTGAACAAGAGCATAAATATGAAGAAAGACAGACCAAGACTCAACCAGCTGGGCTGTGCCAGTCAAGTGGAAAGCTGACCATGAGGGAAATACCAGCACTTCACAGAAAGAGCTATCTGTGGAGAAGCCCGTGAGGTCAGGCAGGGGCAGAGCCACCAGGACATGGCACTTACCTCCAGGAGGAGGTTTGTTCTTGGAGGTGAGTATGACAAAACCAAATCCTTCGTTCTCCTTCCGCTGCAGACGGACATCGTAGACTTCTGGGCATGGCTGGCTGGCAAAGTCGACATGGTTCAGCCGAGGAGAGCCATTCTGTGTCAGGACAGGCTGTGGCTCCTCCTCCTCTGCCTGCTTTTCCCCTTGCAGGGAATAGACAAACAACAAATAAGGAACAAATCACACAAATCAACTTCAGCACAACCATGAAGCTCAGCTGTCAGTGCCAGCATGAGGTGGCAACAGCAGTTGCTAGTGAGAGCAGGGAGTCCTTGTCAGCAGTAAATCCCACCCCAGCTTTGTCACTCATGGAGTCACAGACTAATCTTCTCTAAAGTGTTGATCTGGACACTGATCTAAAACTCCATCATCTCAAGATCTTGCTCTGAAACAGCTCCCGTTTGAATACAGTTAATCTTCCTACACGCTAATGCCAAGAGACTTGAGAATACAGCATATGGAAGGTGTCCCTGCCCATGGCAGGGCATGGGACAAAATGAGCTTTAAGGTCCCTTCCAACCCAAACCATTCTGGGATGTTGAGAAAACAGACTGCATTATTATGCAATTTCCATAGCACTAATGGCTGTTCTAACTGCTACCTGCAAAAAGGTTTGAAGAAACCACCCCTGCATCATAATTTTCAGAGCCTTACCTGTGTGAGCAGTGCAAGCTAGCGAGCAACAGAGTCCAAGCCTATTCAATTCTGCTTTTCTCCATTTAAGAATTATAGCTGACTCTCCTCAATCTCAGGCTGCTCAGCCCCAGTGCAGTAATTAAGTTCCAGAGCAGCTTCAGTGGATTCGATTACAAGCCCTAAGTGCTCTTTCTAAGCAAGAAGACACCTACCACTGAAGAAGATCTTCCTCCGGACAGTGAGCAGCACCTGCCCGTTCCGTGCAGCATTGGTCATTAAATCCAGAACTTGTTTGTGTGACTTCCCTTTCACAGGGACTCCATCAATGCACATCAGCTCATCTGCTGCACGCAGCCTCCCGTCCTTTTCCGCTGCTCCCAGTGGGATTATAGCACCAATATAAATCTGTGAGCAGAGTCCAGGGGTTTGAAAGGGAACATGAGTTCATCAGAACACACAGTGGTTGCAATACAGGTGAATTTGTGCAGATTAGGTCTTTTGGGGAAGACTCTTAAAGATTACTTCACTGTCCAGCTCCAGCAGAAATGCAGCCAGCAAGTGTACTCTGCAAAGCTGATCCAGTGGAGACAATATGGAGTCTCAAAGCATTCACTAAATACTTCAAATATCTTTAATCCATATTTTTGTCAGTTCTTCTCCCTTGAGCATGTTTGCCAGTTTATTAAAAAGCTCAGTTTTTGAAATGAGCACACACCATGTACTTATTATATATAGTATTTCCTAGACATTTATGATACAAAAGCTCTGGCATTCATTCTACTCTATTTTTTTTTACCAAGACTGAGGAAGAATGACTGGGAAGAAATAAAAGCTTTTGAACAAACTCAAATTTATGTGAAAAGCTGCTTATAGACAGTTTGACATTTCAAGTTGCTTCAGTTCTCAGCTTTTGGTAATTAGATAATGAATTCAAGCATCAACAGTTCTGCCTACTCCCCACCTCAAAAAGTGCTACTAAATATAATACAGAGAAGAACAACACACTCAATTTCATATGCTACAATCACTTTCAATTAAATTGAAGATTAAGGGTAACAACAGCTAGTATTGCTGGAGTGGGCAGCTCAGCAGTACACATCACTCAAGACATCAGCTCTACACTTCCTAACAGCTATGGGTGTTATGGAAACCAAACACCACAAATGTTATAAAGGGCAACAGAAGTAAGATTCTCTGAGTTTGCTCTTTACTTTAAATGCATGTTAGTGAGGGAGGAAGGGAAAAAAAAAAAATGCTAACACTGGATCACAGCTGGGAATGGAAAAACTGAATTCCTTCACTGTAATCAGAAAACAATCCATGCAGATCTATTCCAAAAGCTTTTTCTCTCCACTTAAACATCTTAAAGAAAGGTCCCTCATATATAGTACAAGTCTTGGAACTTCTTCCCAGAGAGAAATTTATGCATGCTTGAAAATAGAGGGAAGTCTCCTAAAAGCTACCTTTGGAGAACAGACCATCCAGGGGTGTCTGCTCTGGCATTTGCCCAGCTGCCTCCAACACAATGCATGCTTAAATAGCCAGCGGGAGAAGCAGGGAATAAAAGGGGTGTGTCACCATCTCACACCTCTTTCCACTGGGCTGCAAGGAAAGGAAGAGCCTAATGAAATTTTGACAGAAGGAGCAACTGCTTCCTTCTTCCTTCTACTCAGCTGCTTCCCAGGATGCGCTGCTGTGCACAGCTCACCAATGACTGAATTGCCGCCATGGGGATCAGCTGACAATGAGCCAAAGGCTGGGGACCAGCATGGCCCTTCCAAGGGCTCCAAAACACAGCAACAGCTGTAGAAACACCACCAGTGTCCTCGGCCTGACAAAAAATTGTGCCCAAGGATGGGGCTGGTAATGGGAAGGGTGTGGAACCTTGGAGACTGGCGTCCACAAAGAGGAGAAAAAAATAAAGGTAATCAGGACCAATTCCTGACCTCTGAAAGGCAGGTAGTGAATCGATTAATTTTGTCACCACTGAACTGCCCGGATGGGATAATTAAAAATAAGGATGACAGAGTACGATCACTTCAACAGCAATACTATGAGATAACTGTGAGCAGTTTCACTTACAGGTTGATCTGGTCCATCCCCACCAAGCACCCGGAAACCAAAGCCTGATTCTTGTTTTCTCAGGAAAACATCTAAATCTCTTGTGTTTGGAGCTAAGAAAAAAAAAACAGTATTTCAAAACATGTAAAGAGGTATCTTGGATTATTGAAGGATTCTTGAAGGATTCTGCTTTGGTGGTACACTCTGAGTCTTCTAGTGACAAAACACAGTAACCAATTATACATTGATATCCTCTTTTCAAAATGGTATAATTAATTTTCAAAGCAGAAATCTCAACTACATCTGTGCAGTAAACCAGGATAAAAGCCACTCTGTGACATAGCTCACAGCTACTTTTATAAGCAGGTCTAGTGCAGTTTACTTCAGAACCATCCTTGAGATTATTTCTGCAATTAACTGTTTTACTGAAAATACGGCTGAAACATACTTTATCTTTTTTGTTTTTCTGATTGCTGTTGGAATTATGCATTACTTGAAATGTTTTATCCACAAACTTAGCAACAAAGTCTCAGTAGTTTTACTGCACATGCAGCAAAAGAAAAAATTCCTTCATAATTGAGTATTTTCAAGTTGAAGGTGATGTACTTACGTTTGTCCTCATAAATTGTCTTAGACTTCAGGTAGACTTCGGACGGGTCTAGTTTAGGAGAACCTGGTCGCACAGCAGAAGGCGGAAAGGGCATCGGCTGCGGAATGGTATCGCTGACAGCTTCCAAACTTCCAGAACTGTCCTGTTTGTCCTTCTGAAACAGCCCACAGATGCAAAATCCACATTAAATAAAGGCATGGCTACACTTGTGGGTGCAAAGACAATGAACACCATGCGGAAGAAAATCACAAGAAAGGAACAAAATTACAGCTTTTCCAGTGGGTACGTCTGACCAGAGTACTAAAGTCTTCCTCACTGGTACTTGAACTTCTGCTGGAGTCTAAGCTTGGAAAGAGTTTGAAGTGACTGATACTCAGAGAGGAGTGAAGATGGGCAGATGCTGGTAGTTACCATCAGATGGGATGAAGTGGAGCATAAAGGACCAATCACGTTTGGAGAAGACACTGAATCCTTGTCAGGCACCAGCCAGACTCTGGACCACAATCCAGAACCATAAGTACACGCTGCTCCACAGGCACTGTCTCCTGTCCCCTGCCTAGCTCCTCCCAGCAAGCAACAAAGGTGCTCCCAGAATGAGGTGTTTGCTGGAGCAATACACATAAGGGACAAGAGGACACACTTGGATAGTGTGAGGCGTTAACAACTTGCTATTTCTCTTTTCATGATCTGACAGCTGCAACACTCCTGTTCATGAGGCAAGCCAAACATCCTTGTGATCCCTCATCTAAATCCCCAATCAATTATGCAACAAAATAACTCTTAAATATTTCTTCTGGGCTGAAACCCAGCCTGGAAAACTGGCACGTGGCAGTGCATGCTAAACAACAGCCAGAGCAGAACAAATGTAGATCTGCCCTTCCGCCAAGAGCAGAAGAAACTGCCCAGAGCCATTCAGCAGTTTGACACTTCTTGTATGTTTAAAAATTCAAGAACTTGCCCTAAGTGAACTATTTTGCCATGCTGCTTAATGCCACTGAGCATCAAGCACTCTGTGGGCTGCTGCTGCTGTATGTATGCTGGAATAGAATGCCAGTCCCCAAGTCCAAACTATTTTTAGCACATTGCCACGGGATCCAGGCTGACAGGGCCAGGGCCCTCCAACTGCAGGGATTTCTGCTCTTTTTTATTCAGTGTGGGCAGGTGGATGCTTGCAAGGAACAGAATCTGAAGATCTTATTGAGCACAGTCATCTTTGAGCATGCTGAACATGTGCGCTTGTCTCATTCCACTGCTGGGATACAACTAAGGTTGTGCTCAAACAGCAGGATAAAGATAGAAAGAGAAGTTACAGCTATGTTCTGGTAATGGGGTTTTCATAAATTTCCCTGATTTATTCTGTACAAGAAGCATTTTTAAAGAAGTATCTGTGTTCCATCAGCCTAATTTACAGTAGAATCCTTCATAATAAACATAAGCATTAATATCAGCATTATTAAATCAGAGGTCGTTCTATTAAGACCAAGGATTCTTTGCTGAGCTAATGTATATTAAAGATGCCCTGAAAGATCAAAATTCCAAGAGCAATGAGTATCAAGCTATGAATGTACAGCTCCATAGAGACTTGCTGAAAATATGGATCCAAAGATAAGCATGTCCAGAAGGGAGTACTAACCAGTCCATTAATTCTATGCAAGGATTGAGAAGAATCAAAGGATCATAAACTTCCTTTAGGAATGAAAAAAATAGATAACTGTATTTTGTTTCCCTTTTAATGGGTATTCTAACAGCATGTACTTAGACAAAGAATTTATGCCTACCAAGCAGGTATGGTTTTGCTAAACCATCTTGCAGGTTATCATAGGGGGTAAAATCCAGAGGAAATGAGATTACAAAGCATGTCAGAAACAAGTTAAATACATCACCAATACTCACTCCTTTGGCAGCTTTAGTAGGAGAGGGTGGACCTGAAGAAAATATAAAGTAACTTTAATAGCAGGTTACAAAAAGTTTCAACAACATTTCAGCAATATAATCAGCTTCTCCTGGGGCGAAAATAATAGCTGCTGATTCACTGTGCCTTTAAATGGCAAAGCAACCGAAACCATTACTTTAGAGAAGTCTCAATTAGAAATGATAGCTGTACAACAATGAAAAATATCTATTTATCTTTCTGCTAGAAGCTGGTCAACCAAGTCACCCCTCAGTTCATGGGATAAGGAGACTTACAAATTTGTCTGAAGGAATTTCACTTGCCACAAAGGAATCTAATTATTTCCTTAGCTGATTAAGGAATAGTAGTATTTATACAGAAAAAGATCTGGAGATTTTTGCAAATGCCAGTAGCTGAAGTCAGGGTTACAATAAAGCCTGAAGAGATGCAAAGCAGTCATGAGCTGCCTCATAATCCATTCAGATTCAGCTTCCTTTGAAAGACACACCATCTACTACAGGTTTTGGGGAGAAGATGTATTCTGGTCTGTGACTGACAATCAAGGAAGAGTTATGAATATGCAAAGAAAAAATCTGAATTTTTTCTGCTATTCCCACCTCCCAGCTCCACCTCTTTGCTAATGCTTCTTCCCATCTCCTGCAATCCCCTGTTCATTACAGACACGTTATTGGAATATATTTGGAGAACCTCACAAAATTCAGTATATACTTTGCATTATACCGGAAACCATGTGTTTGCTTTAGCACTCCCCAGAGACTTGGAAGAGATAGTGCATAAACATATCACCATATAATTGTTGAGGATAAAAACCCCAAAGAAAAACCTAACTAAAACTTCTAACAAAACCCTAGCAACACACTATCACCCTAAATCAAACTTACAACATATAAGGGGGTTATAAATTAAACTAAGAACCTAATGGCTCAGAGATAGAATGAACTGCTGCCTAGCTGTCAAGACTGGACATGATTTAGATATCACACTAAAACTGGACTTTTAAAAGCTTATAACCAATATGACAACTGCAATTTTGTCTGTACCTCCTCTTAAGATAAGCAGGGGCACCTCTGCTCCTACAGGAAACTGCTTGAGCACCTCCACCACCTGCAAGTGGGTCAAGCTCTGCACATTCTGATGGCAAATCTCCTTGATGACATCCCCTTTCTGTAGGCCTTGGCACCACTGGCTGTCCAAAATCATCTTCACCTTCTGGCCTGTGGGACTGTCTGCAATGGCAAACCCAAAGCCTTTAGGCCCTTTGACCAGAGGGATGGTGACCAGCTCTGGCTGAGAGCCTCCTGAGGAGGCAAAGGAAACCCTCTGCTCAGCTGAATCCACAGAAGGGCCGTTCAGGCGACCGTTGACCAACACTTTCCCATTCTGGTCCAACCCAACTGTTGCTGCTACTAAATCTTGGCTGGACACGGAAGCATCTCCCTTGGCCACCGGCGGGCCATTAATGACAGGTGTGGCCGTCACGATATCCACCACGGGGTCTTCACTGTCATCAGGAAGAGGGTATCCACGACACAAAGTCATGTTCACATACTGATTGATGGGAATGAGCTGAAACATTTGGACAACATCTGCATGGGTATGGCCAAGGACACAGCTTCCATTTATGTCCACGATGACATCGCCTGTTACAAAAGAAATTTTGATGGTGTCAAAAACAGAAGCGAAATCTTCAATAAAAGCTTACCTTGAGGAAATCACAGTGCTGTCTTCAAATTAATAACTAGTATCGGGGATATTATCTCATGGCTAATATTGCCAGAAAGCATAAATGATTTCCTCTTCACATTTATTCTATTTCATCTCAGGACATAATGCACTAAAGATATAAAATTTAATCTGCAGCAGATTTAAAAAATGATACTGTACAGCCACGGGAGATGAAGCAGAGCACGCACACTACAGCAAGCAGATGACTTCTAGTTTAATTCATATTGCATAGTATTCTAAACCCAATGCAGAATAAATCTGATGTGTTTGGCCCTGTGTTTATTTTAGGACTGGCTGAACTTAAGCTAGGATTGCACACACACATGCTCCATACTCTTACACTGCTGCCACACGTGGCTAAGAATACATTTTCAAAATGAAGTTACATGGGCTTCAGATCCCAAAACCTTGTTTTGTGTTTTCATAATTTTGATGTGAAACTTTGCAAGTGCGGTACTTTGCACGTGTATATAGCCTACAAACTAGCCAATCCCTTTACTGCCAGGCATCAGTAAAACAGGATTGCTCTTATTCCATGAACTACAATCAGAATAGTTGCACATCTTTTTACTCCAACAGTTCTGCAGGATGGTTTTCATTTTTGCAGGGGTGGAAAATGAACCACATACAAACAAATTCAAACAATATACCAGCAACAAAACAGGAAATTGTTCCATTTCATAAGTAAATAATATTTATCACTCAAAGTATGAATTATTTTATTCATTTGAAGAGTAAGAGTTTATGTTATACGTTAAGAAGCATTTTGCCCTTTCTAATATGCAAACCAGAGGTTAGGGTAAGGTTATAGGTAACTTAATGACACATATAAAAACCATCAAAAAATGCACAAGTCTTCATGGCTACTCATCCCTCATCTCTCCTCACTTGCCCAGCTCACACAACTTTGCCTCCTCACCCCTGCTGTGGGCTTTTTGTAGTTTTAATAATCAGTGTCATGGTTTTTGGCAGCAACAAGGCAAAACAGACCAGGATTCAAACACACTATTTTTACTTCACTTACAGAGAAGGACACCATTCTATGAATAAACATGAAGACAAGTGTCTTTGCTAAAGCAGAAGTTCTGAAACCTTCAGAAGTGCCCTTAAAGTAAGTTTTTATCTAGAATGCTGTTTCTTTTCCTTTTCAGGCCCTGCTCTGCACAGATCTTTTACAAATATGAAAATATTTAATTTAGTGAGGCTGTGGATTGAGTCGTCCAACCTCCTGTGCATCAAGCTGCGTTCTCCAAAGTACCCCAGGAAGTGGAAGTTTTCAGAAACAATACTTGACCTGGAGCAATTCTTCCATCTTGTGCAGCGGGTCCATCTTTTAACACATTCTTCACCTGGAGAAACTCGTCAGGCCTGTCCCCTCCAATGATTGTGAAGCCAAATCCCATGGTACTTTTTTTCAGGGATGTCCTTATAAGTGCTCCAGTAAGCTGGGATGGATCTCGAGTGAAGACAGACCTCCCCGGTCCTTCGGAATTATGGAATACAGAGATGGGAGAACAGGAAACCAGGGTTAATTCTGGTACGTTTTTTGTTTATTTTTAAGGTGCCACAAAGGTTAATTATTTGTTTATTGTTGGTCAGCTTCTGAAGCACTTTTAAATGATAAACTAACAGACAGGAAAGTGCTACACTCATTTTCCAGCTGAATTCAGTGAATGGAAAATAGTTTTTCTGAACAGACTGCAAACCTCCCACCTTGAATTCCCAAATTTTATCCTCGAATATCAAGCTTAAACTAGATCAAAAGCATAAAAACTCCAGGTCTGGCTTTACCTGCACTTCCAGATGGCTCTTCTAACCCTCCATATATTCCAAAGCTGTTTATGACAACCAGCTTCAGAACAACCAAAATTATTTAAAAGCAGTCTTAGTGCCCCAATTCCATTTTAACATTAAAAAAATCCTTCAAAAAACCCAAAAGATCTCAGAGGGTAACACTGTAATGGCAAGCAAAAAAACAAGGCTGATGCCTTGATGATTTCCAGAATTGGGTTTTTATAAAGCACACTTGTAAATAAAGATATATATGACAAAGAACACAATATTCACCTGATTTGGAAGGGCCAGCATCAGTCTGTCCTAGCTGTTTTTTCCTTTTGGCTTCCAATACTGGATTTTCAAACTGAGTTTTCTGGTTAATATGACTGCAGGCATACAAAAGGTAGGTCATCAGGATTTCAGAAGAAAACATTCTGACTACTTCCCAAAAATGACAATCCAAAAAAATACATCTATAAACACTATTTTTTATTATGTCAGATGAATGCTCTGGAAAAATGAACAAAAAACTCTTATAACCAATACTGAAAGTATGCTCATTCTTTCAGCAGCTTACTTACTTTGAGGCAAATAAAATTTTACTCCCTTTAATCACCAGGTAGAGTTGTAATAGTTTAGATCTGACCCATCTACCTATACTGTTTCCAAACTCAGGCATCACCTTTTCCCTAGTAGATGATAGAGAAGTACAGCATAGAAGGAGAAAACCAACAAATTTGAGCATAATTCAAATACCTTGGCTTTGCAAAGTGAAAAATGTTTGCTTGTTCTCTGAAGCTACATTTTCAATTCTACTATTTTTCTTCTCCATGGTTAAGGAGAGATTGCATTTCCTCTGGCCTGAGGGAGATTCAAAAGAGTTCCTGCAGCAGTTTAGTGATTATTGACTTGGCTCTTTGAAGACAGAAATGATCTACAATTTATTTTTACTCTTTTAATGTTATCAGATGCCACTCTTAAGTGACTCTGCTCTTGTTAAGCTAAGAAAAATGATATCAGCTCAATTCCATCTATAAATTATTTTGGTTGCAACTTGCTTTCCTTCACCAAATGAAAAACAGTGCTTAAGTCTTTAAGGTCACACTGTGAATTTTCCCACATGCCAGTGCTACCAGAAGTTTGTGCCACAAGTTTGCGACCCTAGAACTGTTTTTCTTGGATATAGTTAATAGTTTCACAGAATCACAGAATGGTTGGGACTGGAAGGAACCTTAAAGCCCGTCAGTTCCACCCCCTGCCATGAACATGGATACCAGACCAGATTGCTCCAAGCCTTGTCCAACCTGGCTTTTCACTGCATTACAATCTCTGCTTCCTGGGGATTAGGGACTTCAGAATTTCATGCTCAATTTTAATGTATGCCAAATCAATAATTAGCACTTACTCAACGTAGTATGTCCCATATTGAGGGTCTTCTATTTTCTCCCATCCATAAGGAAGTTCTGCAATCAGAAAGACCAAATTCTCCATTACAGGGGAAATCTACCCACAAATATCAGAGTTTTCATTAAAGAACACCTAGGCTCATGAAAAATATGAGGATAATAAAGGTCCCATTTTCTTTCCTAATGAAAGGTAAAAGCCTGTTCCAGGGAATCTGAACCCCTGCAACTCTTACTCTTTCTTGCAATAAATTATGAGACTTGTATTCAATGAAATCACACCACTTTAAACATATAATAAACTTAAAGACCTGTTTATACTGAAAATTACATGCAAAAGGCTTCTTTTCATGTCAAATTCAGCATCTGGTAAGAGGATGCCAGCACCTCATGACTGACTGAAGGTAATAAGCAGTTACCACAGAGGTCAGCTTATCAAGTTCTTTGTTCTAGTTATCTTGACCATGGAAATTTAAATATTAGAATAATTAACATAGTCAGCCAGACATTTTAAGGATAAATCTGTCCAGCAATCGTGTTTGAGGCTGACCTAAGTTTGACAATAACAGGAATTCCCCTAGCATGTTACCAATTACTAATACCAGTATTGCTCTGACTAAAGACCCAGTGGGTCTCTTAATTTAGGTGGTGTTCATTTGAATATCCTGCATCTCTGTTTAAAGAGCTGCATGTATGTTTAATAAGCAGCAGTATGCCATTGCTCCAGCTGGCTTCATTATGGATACATGGCTGTTAGGTTGGACAATTTTGGAGGATATCAGGTCATTCTGAGCCTGCTTCAGCTTTTGTAACATGTCAGGCATTTGCTGAAGACAGACCTACCTGATACTCTTTTCTAGCAGACTGAATTGCCCAACTGTGTAGGAAATGGTTGCAGAAATTGCCTGGAGGCTACTGACCTGGAAGTCTTGAAGAAATTTAAATCAGTCAGATTGTTCCCTTAGCTTTTGCATTCAAATACTATGTCACATGCAATAGTTATCATTAGCAATATGTATGTTGCCATACCTTCTTTGTTATTCCTATATTCTGTTACTTATGGACCTTCTCTTTCTGCCATATGCCACCTATACAACAGTTTCCAGTGAGATCATCACTCATGTGCATCTTTCTCCTTAAGAATGACTCTTACTGGAACAAAACATCTCATATTCTGCTCAACAATGCAGATAAACCTAAGTTTGGCCAGATTCTACTACTCCAGGGAAAATACACCATGGACTTTCTCAGTCTTATGTAAATTCCTATTGCCACCAAACAGGGGACGCTCAGCACTACACTGCCAGCTCCAGAGTCACATCTACCAGAGAGAAGCTTCTACCACAGAAGTAATGGACTGTATTCATAACTCATACATTTATCAGTGACGGGTGGCAAATGCATCTCACCTCCATCTTCACAATCTTCAGGAGCTTTGGCCTTCTTACAGAGCCGGGGATCAAGCCATGTGGTTGTCTTGGTGTTGTGACTGTGGAGCAGAACACATGCCAGTAAGAGAACTCCCTCACACTGAAGAAACTTTCCTTCAAGTATTTACTGTTGTAGGAAACTGTAGACTTCAGAAAACACAACCTTTATTTGTGCCTCAGTCACATCATAAAATACTAAAAAGAAAAGGCACCAGCACATTAGAGACTCTCCAGGCCACACGGGAAGTGTTAGAGGCACAAATCCTCCCCCCAGCCCCTAAAAGCACATACGGGAACAGCAGCTGTTCCTACCTAATAGGAAAAAAAATATTTTTAGCCTCCTCATATGCTAAACTCTCAGGAAGGTTTCTGTTTCATTTTTGCCTTAGAACTCATAAATGAAGCAGTTTTACATGTGCACACATGAGCTACTTTCCTAACCTGGGCTTTCATCTAAGTTATTTGTATTTTGAAACATCCATTCCCAGCCAAGGAATACAAGCAGAGAAGCTAAACAAGTTCTCAAATTTCAGAGAAATTTGACATACAGAAAGTTTCCATGTCACACTTCACTTAGCAATACCCAGCCAACTTTGTATTTGTGAGATACAAAATTTAGAATAAACAAACTGACTTTGCATAAGGTCTTCCTGCACAATGGCAATTGTACTGAGCGTGCAACATTGAAGACTATGAGTAAGGAATGTAACAGTAGAAAAATAGTAAATTACATAAAGACATAGAAGCAGTAAGAGAAGAGAGGTGAAAAAGCAAGCTTTCCAGACTGCAGCCACCAGCACTTCTCTCCTCCAAGGAGCAAGTTACTCACTCGATGAAGTAGATCATGCCAGTGTCCGTGTAGGCCATTTCCCAGTTCTTGGGTAGTGGTTCCAGGGTCTCATCCCTCGACAAATAATTTCTGAAGTCCATGTTGCTGCTTGTCTGGTTGTAGCTGGGAACAGGTTTCATCCAGTCAGGAGAATCTGAATGTTTTTCTTTGTTTTCTGCAGTTGTTCAGGGAAAGTGTTTGTCAGATGCTTATGTTGTTTCTCACAAAGAACCACCCTCTTAATCTGGCTACGAGTGGATGTCAAACACGTCCCTGTATGTGATGTGCAATTTTTCACTTTTTTTTTCAACTGTGAACTTTGAAAAGCTGACTTGAAAAGACTGAACTCTGCTCTTCCCCTGCCAAACAGATTAACCTTGTATTATGTGTCTGAGCCTACTCTGAAAAATCAACACTGGCAGAAATCCAAGTTGACTACGCTCTTTTGCCATTTCTAAAGAGAGAACAGTGTTTGTAATGCCATAAAATAATCCAAAAAAATCCTACTAATATTCCTCAAAGAATCAGAAGGAAATGTAGAGAAGACCCAAACTGCCAATAAAGTAAACAACACCTTCCTACAAGCCACAACTAGAAAAAAATATCCCAAAAATTCCTGCAGGAAACTTTTAAATAGAAGCCTCTACCCTTCAGAACCAAGGTTATGCTTGATACCCTCTGTGACATGATGATGTCCGTGACCTTCACCCTACCAGCAGCCTGACCATTGGCCCTTCTGTGGTGTTGCTAGCCCTAAAGATGATAAGATTAGGTCAGGTCTGGTCAGTATAGCTCTGTCCTAAGTAGTCACACATGGGATCAGCTGCAAATGCAATGTGACAGTTCCTCTCCACCATCAATTCTCCCCCCTCCAGATGAGTAACCATGACAGGAAAAGGGCATTTTGCCAATCCCAGAAAGGTCCTGCTGGACACCACTCCAGCCTCAACACACTTGGCTTTATTTCTCTCCACAAGCTCCTCCTTGGGTGGTTTCAGGTTGTGTGATTGCTCCCCCATGGAAAATCATCTGAAAAATTTACAGTATGAGCCAACATTGCCCCTTCAACCAATCACTTCCTTAAAATCTCCTGTGTAGAAATTCAGTAGAAGCCTCAAAATTCAACAGTAACATTTGCAGGGTATGAATTTTACTCTGTGAAGGATTCTGTTATTTCAAGAGTGGACAAACTTTTCCTTCCCACTTGTGTAACTGGCCCATATCCAGCACCACATGTTCTTGACCAAGCAGTGCATTTTATGATGCAACTGCACATCTGGCTGGGAGAACAGCTGGTTCTTTTCAAAAGGTCATCTCAAAATCAAATAGAAGCACAAGCCTGAACAGAAACTGCCTTCATACTTCACCAAAACTAAGGAAGCATGAATGTTATTTGTACAGTCCTTATCCATTCATATCAGGGAATTTCTCCCCTTGTCAACCAACCTATCCCTCCACTGCCATTAACTGCTTCCTTTTCCTCCTCTTCCTCCTCTTCAGGGAGAGAACTTTCCATCCTTTGCATTTTGCTGACAGATGTGGTTCTTTTCCTCTGCGATTCAGTATCAAAATCATTGTCAAAAAGAACTTGATCCACTGGATCAGCCTGAAAGGGGCTGGGCTCTGCTGGAGGCTTTGGAGTACCATAAAAATTACCTGAAAATGAGACAGAAATCATGATCACTGAAGCACTGATACTGCTGAAGGCACTAGCAGTGGCTGTTACCAGTTTAGTGCCCATGCAAATGTATTTTGGTGAAATTTTAAAGCCTCAAAGAAGACACCAGCTCTACCAAAACCCAACCAACAGTCAAAGCCTGTTTATTCATACACTGACTTCTTGCTAATGTAGCACTAGTTGTCAGAAAACAAGAGGTTACCTGAAAATTTTTATTCTGCTACAAGTTTTCTAAAGAAAAATACTGATATGGAGCAACAGAAATACTGAAGTCAAAAAGCCAATTAATTTTACGGAGAAACAAGTTACTTATTTCCATAAAACTAGTTAACAAGTAATTGATTTTTAACACTTCCAATTTTCTACTGACAATACGCTTGCAAAACGAAGATGTTGATATGGCTTCATATCAACATCTTTGTATCAATATGTTGATATTTTCACTTCAGAAAAAGGAACAGATTTTTTTCTTCAATATTTTAATCTAAAGCACAAAGGAATCATCTGCTGTTTTCTGGGAAAGAATTTCAGCCATTGACCTCTCTCCTGACTGCTCATATGATTTTTTTAGGGAATTGAGCACAAAGCAAGGGATCTTCCCAGAATTCCTGCTGGGGTAACTTTTGGTGCCTGGATATGGTTTTGACCATGTAAATATGTATAGAAAGAAAACCCTTCTTCAAATATCAAGCAAGAGCAAGGTTCAGAGAGGGGACAGCCAGATAAAGTGCAGCTCAGGAATAAAAAGAAAACCAAACTACTAGTTTAGCCTAAATTTGCTTAGGAGATTTCCAGAAACGGGACAATATTAACAGAGAGTGTGGGATACAGAAAACAGGAGGCACAGAGCATTTCACAAGGATTGTTTACTTTTGACATCTTCTTTTCTTTTTTCACCATCTTCATTACAATGTTTTTCATCACCACATGTAACAAACCCAACTTTCCTACAGATTTGGACCATCTGGTCTAGTGCTGTTCAACTTTTAAATAAGAAATGCTTTTGTTTCCCTGCTAGGTCAGAATTTCTCTTGCCTTCTGTCCTTTTGAGGAGCACCTGAGAGAAGAATATGGCTCTGTTCTCTGAGGTGTACAGAAAATTGACTAGATTCTCTTAAATTTGTACCAGGCACAAATAAACCTTTTCAGAATGCTTCCCAAAAATGCAATGGTGAAAATAATCTGGTGGGATTAAGAGTCGTTGAAAGGACAATCTGCGGATTATTAGAAAGCTTTAGAACAAGATCGCTCCTCCTATTCACAAAAATAGATTAACTATTGTCTCTCTGCTACTGTCATGACCATCAAGTGAGGCAGGAAAACTGTACCACAGGGAGCTACACTTGGACTAAGATCCTGGACACAAGTACTGAGTCCTTATTCCCATTCCATTAAACATCACTGACATACCATCATATGTTCCACTTTCTAGTAAGGCTCCACTTTCTTCCAATGCTTTAAACTGCTCAACAGGAATGAAATTATAGTCTACCCCAGGGACCTCCCCATCTCTGGGAGCCCTTGTAGTGCCTGCAAAGACAGAAAAAACATTCTTGTAAGATATTTAAGTGCTGCTTGATATCAAATGCTGCCTGCTGAATAGTTCGGTAAAAACAATGTCTTTTCAAATCTTTATACAAAGACGATGTCACTCCAGTAAGAGTTAAAACAACTGGTGAGCAAGTGAACAATAATGTATAAAAACTTAGCCAGCAAATTACACAGGAACAACAGTTCTGGTACTGGGGGAGGAGGAGAGAAGCAGCTGGGTGAGGTGGCAATTAAGAGAGAATTCTTTCTTATGGTCAGTGAACTAAAAACAACTTTTGTGGCAGCTGATGCCACCTGGGCCATGCAAACCCAGTCTGGGATTCTTGGAACAGCTGTGATATTTTATTTTAACTCAGCTATGAGGGTGCTGCATCTTTCCCTGTTTACAACAGCAACAATTCTCTAATTTGCAATGAGGTCACCATGACTAAGCACATTTGATTTTTGGGCCACCAAATCCATAACTTGGCACAGAATTTATTTTTCAACCTATAATTCAGAGTGTAAGTCAGCCACACTCCAACCCCTGGCTGTAGGTAAAACTTATCAGTAAATTGCTGTGCTAATGCAGAGGTTCTCAAAGTGTTTTGTCTATGAAAACAGGCCTCCCATAGTAACAACAGCTTAAATAAAGATCTCCTGAAAGGACTTCACTGATTCATTACTATTCATTACTGCCTACAACCTAATAGTATTTCAAAATCATGTATCATTTTTTCAGGCAGCAGCATGAAAAGGAGCTGGTAAATAAAAGCTAGTAATAGTGAAATGCAGTTTAAGAAAGCCACAAACTCTCACGTTTGCCCAAAGAGAAGACAGCAGAATTCCTGTAGATACAAAAATGTTACTTAACAAAGTAAGTTTTTAGTGCAATGAATATTCAGTCAACGATGAGCCTTTTTAATCAGTCTTCTCACAATGAGCAGTCTACCTGTACATTCTGCCACTGCCACCCCTTCTGCACCCAGCCCCTCCTTCCAGCTGCCCTGCTCTGCGAAATGCACTTGACACTCAAGGTCTCAGTTTGCTCTTTGTGAAGAAAAAAGCCCCAACACATTGACAAAATTCAGGATGTTTTGGCACTGCTTGATCATGCCGAGATTTATTTCTTGTGGTGGCTGGGGTCATTCTAACAACTACTGACAAACTTGTGAAGAGTAATACACATATTATTGAAACACTCTGAACTTTGAATTCTCAAGTTTTTGCTGGTTTTCAGTCCATACTGGCTGCACCAATTCATGGCAACTTCAGATGTGAAACTACTGTAGCAAAGGCAGAAGTCTCTGCTATGAGGTAAAACTCTAAATCTGATTAAGAGACAAGGCATTTTAAATTCACAAATTACGTGGGAGTTAGCAGGAATAGATGAGGCTGATCTTTACATACTTACAAGGGATGGTTCTCAAATAGAGATTGTCTCTGATCACTTGCTGGAGTTTGTGGTCTATCGAGCCCTTCTGGAACTGAAGGCTCAGATAGTGGCGCAAGTCCTTGTTGATGACTTTTCCTTAGAAAGAAAAAAGAACAAATTAGAATAATTTGTAAAGCAGGCTCTCACAAGAATTGTGTTTCACTGCTATAGAAGTTTCAGGAAAAGCATGCAGTTGTAAGAGTTGGGCTGTTTTAAATACAACAACCATGATGGAAAATACCATTTTGTGCTATCAAATGACAGAATCCCAGAATGGTTTGTGTCAGAAAGGAACCTTGAAGCTCATCTTGTTTCACCCCTTGCCATGGACAGGGACACCTTCCACTATCCCAGGTTGCTCCAAGCCCTATCCAACCTGGCCTTGAATGCTGCCAGAGATGGGGCAGCCACAGCTTCTCTAGGCACCCTGTGCCGGGGCCTCACCACCATCACAGGGAAGAATTTCTTCTGCCACAATGGTTTTAAGCAGAGCTGACTAACAACCGCTCCCCCTCTGAAAAATCAATATAAAGTATTAAAATACAAAACCTATTACCAAAATCCAGAGTTTCTACAGACAAGAAACTATTCTCTGTATTTTGAAGTAGTCTCCATTCAATTTACACCTACTCACTAGTCACCTGCATTCAATATTTTGTCTCCTGGGAACTTGCATTCTTCAAATTATAAAAAGAAAGTACTTCCTTCTTAAAAACATTGTGTAATAGAAGGGAGTTGGGTTTTTTTATGATTACTCCTTTGCAATACTTCTGTCAGGTATCATTAGTGAATCTGTCACATCACTGGAGAACCACAGCCCCTTCAGAATAAGAATAACTGAGCTCTTGTATTACTGCCTCATTCTTCAGACAGGAGGGTACAAACCAATCTTTTGTACCCTGTCAGTCTCCCAGAAAACACAGTAAATAGGGTTCAGTGACCTTGGTAAATTTAAGTTATGTACTACAGCAGAACACTCAGGGCTTTAGGGGAAAAGCTCAACCTTTGTCTCCAAACCTAGAGCAGGAGATGGGCAGCAGCAGATGGATGCTGGTGTAGCACAACAGCAGGGAAAAAGGCTGAACAGACAACTGCTCCTGTTAAATTACATCACCAACAGGTTATGAAATGCATAAACCTGCCCCAGAAGCATTTCTGACAGGAGCCTTTGAAGCCTGTGAGCTCAAAGTTGCTGAGGAGATCACCTCAAACAGATCACAGACCCCACAGCAGTCTTCATACAAGGCCCATTCACCTACATCTCCAACCAATTATTGTACTTACATATATGTCAAATTGGAAAAAAATCACAAACCATCAAAACCCTCCCACCACTAGCCAAGTTTTCCCAACCTTGTGTCACTTCTGCAAAGCTGGCTGCATGTTTTGGTTGTGGCAAGTTTATACTTTCCCTTCCCGTTTAGCCAAGGGGAGGGTATTCCACACCTTGCTCTCTACTCCCAAACTTGACCTCAGCAACCACCACTCACTAACAGCAAACTGAATTTCAATCTGCACCCTTTTCCCTCCAAACAAAAGCATGCCACGATGAGTACTTCTACATGGAACCAAGATTACCTATCAGCCCTTCAGAGAGGTCAGTGATGTCCACAGATTAAGCAAAACACACACAAAATCACCTTAAACCCAGGCAAGGAGAGAAAAAGCCCAGCACACCCTCTGAACAAACAGCACATCCTGTGCCAAACACAAGTCCTGAGCTCCAAATGAAGTCAACTTCTCACCTCCTTTAACACTGTCATTTACTTAAAAATTACTTCCAAACACACAAAAAGCATTTTGCAGTATTAGGAAAACACCATTGTCCTCATGGCTGTCCAGCAGCTACACACACAACAGCAATTCCCAGTAAAGCAGTTCTTCATCCAACCCCTTCCCAGGAATGCACAGCAACTCTGCAGCCCCCACCTCAATTCCCTATTTTACCAGCATGAACTGTTCCTCATAAAACTTTGGATTTGCTTCCTGCAGCATAACGAGCACAGTATGTCATGGAATACGGAAACAAATGGGGTAATCTCCAGCACGAAAAGTATTTTCCATTTGTTACTGCAAATTACTTCATTCTTTGTAGACAAGATAGTTCCTCAACATTAAAGAAATGTTTTGCTGCTAAAATGTGCATCCATCTCCTAGTCAAAGCCAGATATGCACTTCAGCAATCCCAGCATATTTCACTTAGGTAGATCAATACGCTTATATTTCATTGAGGCAGATGGACCTGTTCATCAACTACTTTCAGAGTACTGCACATTGGAAAAGCCAGACAATATGTGAGAATCTGTTCTGGATGTAGAATTACAGAATTTATTTACTCATTGATCTTTCCCTCTTCATGTTTAAAATTTTAAAAGTGTATAAACCCTTTTCAATAAATATCAACAGTTTAAAGACAAAATAAAGGCAAAGCTGCTACTAAGGATACGTCAATATCGGGTTAATCCTAATATTAAAAGCTTAGAGACTACACTATACTGTGAAACCAAGATGACTGAATTGAAGACTGACAGGATTGACTAGGGAAAACAGAGAAAATAGTGGGCAGAGGAAAAATTACGGAAATTCACATAGAGAATGGTGTGCATTAGAAAGCAGAAAAATAAAGTAACAGTAAGGCTGCTTTAGGCAACCTCTGGCAAAAGTCAGATTATTCTCCCCCCAGGAGGTGAACATGCTTCTTTTACATTGTTTCACAAATGCTTTTAGGAAAACCTCATGTATTAGCCTCTCCAAAATGACCTGATAAATGTTGGGTTGGTGTATGCTGTGCTGCTGAGCTGCTTCTAAAGGATGACACTGGCAACACAGGGACCAGTCAAGAGGAATAATACACTTTATAGCACTCAGGTCCTGCCAGATGAACAGGCACAAAACCCTTGTTTTCAGTTTTAATTCAAATTAATTAAAAAAAACTGTTTAGATGAGGATATGCACAGTGGGAGGAAAATTAAGTGACTGCAGAGGGAAAAAAAAAAAAAAAAAAGGCTCAAGTGCCACTGCAGTAAAACACAGCATTGTGAATTAGGGAGACAAATTAAGGGAAGAAAGGTGGCTGGGGGTAGTGTTGGTTTCTGGGTCCCAGTGCATGTAGTCAGGGCATCTCCATCTCCAAAAAACAGCCCCCACAATTCAAGGACCAGGCAGGGAGGAGCTCCCCCAGCCCAGTTGACAGTGATCTGCCACCATCTCCTGTTGATCCCCTTAATTCCACCCCCTAAGTCTCCTCACTCCCCTCCCCAGGGGAGTTTGAACAGCACAGGGTGAAAATCCAGATATTGCATACTGTGATGCAATTTTGTTTTCTCACTTAGAACACAGCAGAGGAGAAATGTAACCAGAGTATCATCACGTACATTCAGAATTTCACACATGTACATTCAGAATTTCACACATGTGAACAGAATCCCAGAGTATCCAATGGCTCCGCTCAGCTGTATATGTTACATAAGCTGTGGCTGCCAGAGGCCACCGACTACGAAAATTCCAGTGAAACACACATTATGAGCTATAAAACGGCTCCGTGACTTCACTCACAGTCTAACTAAAATAGGAATTCTCAGGGCTCATCAAGTGGAAAACAGTTACTGTTCAATTAAACTGGGCTGACAATACACCCACTGAGATTAAGTGATTTTTGATGTGACTAAGCAAAAGCCATTTAAAGAAACGTTCAGCTCCACAAATCAGAGATGCAGTGTTAGGAAACCCAAGCTAGAATTAGTGTGTAATACATTAGCTTTATTATATTCCCCAGCAACTGTTAACATACAATGATTTCACCTAAGTTCCAGATCTGAACACGCGCATTCACTGAGGACAATGAATGATTTCCAAGCATGCAAAAGAATCACTGCATTCATGAAATGTGGAGAGGCTGGAAAGACCCAGTGGTGATACAGCCGTCAGTACCTGCCATCCTTCACCTGAAAGTACTTCATTGTGACCTGGCAAATACACACCTATGCTCTCAGCACAAGGAGAAGATAGGAGGTTCAAATTATTACAACTTATACAGAAAACAGACTAGATCATTTTGAGAATGTCCAACACAGTCAGCAGGAGCTTCCTAATGTTGTGGGCTAGAAGCATAGATGGATTCCTGTGCAGAAGCCTGCTTTTTCCTTTAGTGAAGGGGGCCCACAGCCCTGGGATTTCTGAGGAGAAAGGCTGAGACTAGCAACAATGCCTGGCAGCTTGTGTCCCAGGCCACAAGGGCTCCATGGCATGCTCACACTCAACACCTCCCTGTCTTCCTTCCAGGTAATGATAGCAGGAATCCAAGTTGGGACTCAGCCTGTGCAAGAGAGGAGCTCCCTAAGAAAATCCAGGCCACTTCAGGAGTGTGGACCAGTGATCCATGTGGGAAAAGGGATCCTGGCCTCATTATGGACTCAGGTAACCATCAACCAGCACTCACTATGTTCACCACTAAACCATGTCCTCAAGTGCCACATCCATATGTTTCTTAGAATGCTTTCAGGGCTAGTGCCTCCACCACTTCCCTGGGGAGCCTGTTCCAAAGCTTGACAACCCTTCCCATGAAAAAAAAATGTCCCAACACCTAATCTAAACCCTGCCCCCAGTGTAACTTAAAGCCATTTCCTGATCGAGATCTATTCAAACTACCATGCAAGTGATGGAGCTGGTATGGCAACACACCAATGGGTTCAAACATATTAAAAGGATGTTACAACACACTAAAAGGTCAAAACAACAATCAGAACCTGTAACACAGACACATTTAAAAAATAAAATACAAAATTGTTTTAACAATAGCACTTTAATAAAACTTCTTAATAATGCACTCAAGGCCTTGCTGAGTTTTAATCACGGTGCAGTTCAATACACTACAGAGGCTATTCTGGGTAAGTTGTATCTGTCGCTGCACAACTTGCACTGTGAAGTCGAATACAGACACTTACAGCCATGAGATAAGAGTCCTCTGTAGCTGTCACAGGTTGCCAGACTCAATTCCTGTGAGGGTTCAGCAGACCCTCCCGTATTCAGTCGCAGCTGCAAACTCAGCCAGATCCATTAGGATCCTGTTTTGTCAGCCTAGGCTGCACCCAATTTAA